AAAAACCTGTGAGTAAATTTTCAACAAGTAACCCAAATGCCCCATACACATTTAAATTCAAAGAGCCGTGATTGTGTACATGCACGGCTTCCTTTTCACGGCTCAAGGAAATCTAAAACCGGATAGTCAACATCATCCTCAAGATTTACTTCCAAGTTTAAAGTATACAATGGCAAATACAGATAAAATCCCAAGGGAAAGGTTGAAATCTAATTGCATGGGAAAAATCTCAGCTAAAATGATTGTTATTTCATTTTTGTAGACAAAGCTTATAGTGCCAAATAAAATCATTTCCAAAGTAGCCAAACACACATGATTTATTTCCGTGTTTCCTTGAAGTCAAAATTTATTTCATTCTTTCAGTGTCTCGTATTCTCACTCCAAAACTTTGTTTTTTGACAATCTAAAAAATGATCCATAGACCACTCAATTCTCCTTAATTGGTCCTTTTCAACATCTTCTGTATGCATGAAAAATATTTATAACTCTGTAAACAGTACCCCCTGAAGCTGCTTTGGTTTGCACATTCCCAGCTAGGATTAATTCTTAACATTGTGAACATTTACATGAAATGATTATTACATCCATCTAATGATATATCAACTTATATGTTCCCTACCTACACAGTCAAGTGCTATTAATGATCACAATCACTCAATAAAAATGCTACAACTGAAATATACAATCTATGCTGCTTGTACTTCACAGGAGCTACACTGACTATAACTATAGCAACACAAAACGTTTGTGAACTAACTGGCATTACAGTAACAAAGGAACGACAAAAAGCACACTGTTACATATAACTAAACGAGAAAAGTTTACATCCAGAGTCTGTGCTGCTTCTCCAGGGCGGGACAGCCTTGTTCAACCAATAAATTATGACTCTTTGCCGACATACCATCCAAGAATTACTGTTTCGTCTTGCGTTGTTCCACGATGTTCACAAGCCTTGTTCAACCAATAAATTATGACTCTTTGCCGACATACCATCCAAGAATTACTGTTTCGTCTTGCGTTGTTCCACAATGTTCACAAGGGAGTGAGACCATTTTTTAACTTAAATTCATATATAGGCCCTTAAAACAATCTATTTCTATACGGCGATTACTACCCCCTTTCAATGTCATAGTTGGTTTTGTTGTAAAAATCTAGTTTACTTCGCAAGTAATATACGCATGTAATTATTTTGCTCCAACGTAAAACTTACGTTTTTCATTAGAATTTCAGCAAAATCAATTCCAGCAATACATGAAAATACATCAAAGACTGGTGAAAATTACACTCAGTTACAAAATAATACACATGTACTTAAAATGTATGAAGTCGTTTTGTTATAAAATGAAAATAAGGACGAATAGTCACTAAATCAACAATTCACAGCAATCATACTATAGCTTAAGCGATTTTTGACGTTAACACAGAGCGGGGGGGGGTTAAGGTTACAATCCCTTCTTTTCTTGCAATTTCTCGTCTCCGCTACCTGCCAATCTCGTCTTCCTTTCCTTGATGACTGCTCTGGATTTGTCCATGTACCTCTCGTAGAAAAAGTAGACGAAGAGAACAAGGTAGCTGGAGTACATCATGAAGGAGATCCGCAGATTACTGCCGTTTGTGGCGCACGCAACTCCGCTTTTCCACAAGGAGTAAACGTAACCATTGACAACGCAACCCACCAGCATCTGGGTGATCTGGAGTGACGTAATCACCATGCCGATCCAAGTAGGGATGCGAATGAGCCTTGAAGCTCTGATGGCGTAGTAAGAGTACATGAAGGAATGAACGGTGAAGTTCATTGCTGCGAAGTAACGGGCTAAAGCGACGATTTGTGGGTAAGAGTACCAGGTGTACATGAGAACCGTGATGTGATGATACCAGTGGAGAAAGATGAGTGGCTGTTTCCGCAGGACTATGAACGCGGTGTCTACAAGTTCCGGGAGTTTGCTTACTGTAAAGAGCCAGAGCCATAAGCCGGGGACGTCCTTGTAGACGGACGGGTCGCAAATCGATGCCTGCCAGCCGTGCGTGCGGATAATATGGAGAATTTCACCATCAAGTCGCGCCATACCTGCCCAGCTAAACACGGCTAGCCCCGTTGACCACACAGCCAAGGGGATACGAAGATGAAACGGTTTGCGGGAGGCCATGTACCATCGGCCGGTGAAGACAAGCAAGACATACAGGGCGCTCGCCACAATCGATAGCCGCCAGTTATTCCGGAACCACAAGATTCCTTCCTCAGGCCGGAATGTTTGTTCAAAGTCGAAGACGATGCCCGGCTTGAAAGGGCGAAGAGTTGAGTTAATAAAAACATCCTCCAGTCGATGCGTAGGGAGGCCTGCCATTGCTAAACAGAATTACAATGAAGATGAACGGTACTTTGTGTTTTCAGTCAGTCTTGAAATCAGCTGAAGTTGCTGCTCTTTCTCGAAGCCAGTCTGCTGAGCCAAGTGATCAAGCAAATTTCTCTCGAACACGTCGCAAACATAAACGCGCACTGTACATGTACAGTACATGTACTTAACAACATCGATCGTGAACACGAGGTTTCCAATGTGTTTATGTATCGCGCGCGTGCTCTTTTAGGGCGAGATTTGTCCACCTGTGGCTGTTCTTGTCTCGGACTGTTACTCCCTCTGCTCACATGGCGTGATCCTACGTCTTCTCATTGACAGATCGGTACAGAGTGTTGTCCCACTAAGCTGTACGGTCCTTGCGTCTATTCCGAATTTCTAAGCCATGCAACACAAACTGCCACCATTGTGCTATTGTACACTGTGTACGTGACCTCTGTTGAACTTCAAATGCACAAAGGCGCGGCAAGCAGTGACGTGTCCCCGTGCCTACATATTATTCTACACAGTTTTGCATACAGCTGCATTAATTTGGCCTTGTTCCTCGTGAGACGTGTTCAAGGGTAGACTGGTTCTGAAAGTCCTTTTCTCAGTAAACCATGGGGAAATAAAACAGCAAAACTGATCATCAGTTCAGATTGAAAGCAACATTTTTATGATAAACATAGTGCGGAACTTGAATGTTCATGCGCGGTTATATGTTTGATAACTTACTTTTCGTATGAGCTTGGACTGTCTTCATTCAGGCAGTCACTCAAAAGGATGTCTGCATCACTGCTGGCATAAACACTAGCTGCCCCAAGTGACTCTTTTTCACGACTCAACCCTTCGATTAACTTGGAATACATTTTTGCAGGTCTTTGCCCTCGTCCGCATGAATGTCATCAGAGGGGTTGGAAACAAGTGTTGCACTAGCCATAGTAAGGCGCGCAAAGTGCTTTCATTGGCTGTGGAAGTCTCAGGCGTGCGATTTCCATTCCTGATTGGTCAGTTGATAACAGTACCTCTGAAAGGAATAATTACACAGCACCTACAGCAAACACCTGATTACACAATCTCACCACATCGTCACACGCGTGAAAAGAAAGAGTTAGAAAGTGACACGGTGGACTTACACTTTTCTTTGCGAGTTTATCTTGGCCTATACAGCTCTTATAAAACTCCATAGCTGAAAAGGTTGCTGGTAATGTGCATCGAATCCACCAATTCTTAAATCACGTTACTTTGGAGTGTTTTCCTTTTTTGATTTGAAGTGAGAATATTTTATTTGTCAATGGCAGCTAGTGTACTGGTTTATATGGTCAGGTGATAAGGTGAGGAAGTAGCCCTGATCTCAGTCGTTAAGATTTTAAAAGTATTTGACTGTCGTTTATGCAGCCGTAGACCTTGCTTATCACATTTTCACGTCACAGCCTGTTTTCTACTGATCTGTTTATCTCGGTATCCCGTAATAATTATTCCATAATTGGTGACAAACCATAAGATTCCAAAGGGCATAAGTTTGCACAAATAGACTTGTTCCCAGTTCGGACAAAGAACTTATCACTCCATAGTGTTTGTCAAGTGATGGCGCCCTTGCTTTCGGCTTCGTGCGATTTCTCTTCCAATCCATCCTGTTGTAATCGCCCAATCTGCACTCCCAGTAATGCTAAAGTGTCAGTATTAAACCTTTTTGGTAGATTGACCTTCCCGTATATTTCTGGCAGTTGTCCACACCCCGAGGCCAGCATGAAGAAAACTAACATAAGGCCTTGCCAAAATTCATGGATGCGCCTGGAAACGACATGGTGGATTACAGTCATCACATGTAAATAAAATCTTCCAATCTTCAACTTTGAAAAGTTACAAAAACAACCTAAACATTAATTTGGCACCAAAAATAACAATTTTTGATAATGATTTTGAGGGAAAATAAATGTTACCCATGGGTTGCGTTTTATAGGTATAAAAACTCTCAAAGTCTTTGTTCGATTGGGCTTGCTTTTTAGAACGTATACGCAAAAAGTAACTTTTCTCACTGCGAGACCACAAACAAAAGATTGGTCAATCCAGTAGAAGGAAAATCATACAGTATGCAATATTTTGGCTGGAAAACCAATTTTACTTTTAAATACGTAGCATATTCATTTGTCTTAAATACGGAATCCACTTTTTCAACTTCTATAAAATCTTGGCTCTTCTTAATAACTGTATACTCCAAACTCTGGTACCGTAGCTGGTAACAAGTTCTTGCCCGTGTTTTTTTCAATGTCCCTAGATTTCATAGTCTCACCTACTTTATCTCTGCATTATTGTGACCCCGGTTTCGACAAGTAACGATTGTAGTTTCCCTAGCCCCTAGCCTATTATTCAAGTTGAACTCTGCTCGTCTACAGGGGATCCATGCCAACGCATCAAGGTATCATTGTTCACATGTTTATTCAGTTAAAAATAAATCAAATCAAAGATCAAGGTAAAAATGATACCACAAAGAGGGTAACTTGATAGACACTTTGTCACCTACTACCCTACTGACGCAAAAGGCAGTTTTGTCAGGAGTCAAAGTTCGTAACTTGAGTTGCACATTGCATAACTGTTGAAAGACGTCAGTAGTGTCTAAAATGAAATATTAATTTACAATCAACATTTTAAAAATATAAAACTATATCGAGGAGTTTTGCAAGAACGGTACATAACGATTTTGCTGTGAACCACGCATCAAAATTATTAGACCCTAAGACGATAATCAGGCTGGTGCACTTTATCAAAGTTTTGTGGATGTACAGGATTGCAAACTTCTATAATTACGTATGTATTGGTTTAAGAATACATTTTACATCCAAATAGATAATTGCAATGCCACCCACTTATGATAATGCACTATGACAATAGCTAGGGGTCAAAAGGCAAAATTTATCCTCATATCTAAGGGGAGAGACTTCACTGTTTTCAAAGAATACAGCAGTTGGACAGAGGTCTCCAGTTCCTTGCACAGTAGTCAAAAACTGCTTTGTCTAACTGCTCCCTGGCGTCTGCAGCATAAAGAAGTAAACACATGCCATTCTTACACTGTTTCTTGTATGCATGTACTTGAGCAATCGTGCTTTCTGATGATATTAGACAGACGGTTCGGAGCCACACTGCCCACCAGCAGCAACGTCAACAAATTGCCCAGTGATCGCTGTGATACTATATGTACCAAGTTTAACTCTTAATCCGGTTCATAAGTGTGACGTCACTTCAGTTCAAACCATGCCCACTACACAGTTACATGGACCATAGAACCGAAAGTTAAAGTGCAACTTCAGTGTTCATCCAATGGGAAGTTGCTATTAGTGGCGCGTCCGCATGTATGACAAAGTCACGAACCAGATCGAGTTACATCATGCAAAAATTAAGCACTTTGGACCAGATGCGATACAATGTGATCACCCTACACGATTAATAATGTGGGGGTGATCAAATTTCTCGTATAAAACATATGAACTTGCCTTGTTTGGTCCCAAAGGTCGTGGTCAACTTTGTAAACATGAAAATTTAAAGATGCGATCCACGATGGAGTCATTATCTGGATATTATAGAAACTTTGAAAACAACCCCCAAAAGCAAACCACCCAATAACATTCGGTGACAATCTTCCCACCCGCTTAGCACCAGCGTGTACATGCTACTTGACGGAACCCCCCCCCCGCCACTTGAGCCAGTCTTGGACCCACTCTGTCCCTCCTCATCACAGAAGAATTTAAACTAAAGCTGTGGAACTAGTACCCTTATTTTGCTTTCAAAACAATTTTATGCGCTCATTTGCTTGACATGGTTAGCCAACACTGATAACAAAATTCAATGAAAATCTGGCGAGCACTGCCACATTACATAAAACCTGATAATTTTAATCCACCTGTGAGGTTGACATGATACTGATCTTGCTTACACTGAACATCATATTCATTACGTTTTTACCATTTAAGCTGGAGGCTTTAAATTTTAATGAAAGAGGCAAAAATTAATTAATGTAACAAATATATAAATATATATAGGATCAGTACTGTTCAGAGGGTAAAATGTTCACTTTATATAAACGTACTGTACTATAAAACAAAACTAAAATATGTTCAAAATAAAATCAGTGGATATTGGCAATTTGAAACATCAGGCATTAGATTCAAAGATTTTGTCAACTATGATTCAATCGTAGCGGGACTAAGTAACATGGTGTTGCAATGTCAATTTAGTTGATTGCCATAGTTTCTGTTTTTCGCAACGGCCATGTCAACAAATTCATCTAAGTTAACTGAGTGTTACATCAACATAGGTTCGATTTTAATGGGGGTTCTAATATGGGGTAAATGAAAATGTGCCTTTCCTTATGTACGTTTTCAGGTGCGTTGCGTACACGATGCGTTTATTTTCCACAGACACAAAAATCGTCTGGTGTGCGTTGCGTTCGGCTGCCAAAATTGCCCCGGGAGCAATTTTGACAGATCCACAACGCTTGGCGTAAGTGCTGACGTGCATATGAAAAGGCACCTTAATTAAGGATAATGTTTTGACACACAACACAGAAAAAGGAAACCTTGTACTGCTAACTCAACAGTTTGTGACAAAGAGCCCAGTGTCTGAATGAAACAAATCTATGTTTGAGGACCACAGACCATTAACAATCAAAATTTGTTGAATTTTCACTGGAGCAAAATATTACTGGGAAAACCTCCAGAAAATCAAATCACTTTACACACGCAAATGCCAGCTCTTTGCAAAGATTAAAAAAGAACTTAGCACATTTAGCTTGTCACAAAGTGACCACAAAAATAACCTAATGCGACAGAATGCCAGGAACAACCATACTGTACAAAAATAAATCTAAAGTTTCAAATTTATATGACCTATTCAAGCAAAAATGAATCTTCACATGGTCAAACAGACTTAATAATTTTGTTCTGTCCACAATTACAAAACCAAGAATTCACATCAGACTCATTTTATAGGATACAGTCACATATAAGCACTTGCAGTGAATTTAGGCAAGTTTATCACTCTGTTAATAATTTATGAATATTCTATGTATTCTTAACTGGCATTATAAATGATCATGACTATAGCTCAGCATCAACAATGGTGGCAATATGCTGTAAGGTACTGTCAATCATATCAATTATTGAAATTCAATATAAATCTGTATCAACAGCTGATCATTTTGTTAATCGATATGAATAATCAAATCAACAATTACTTAAAAATCATGTTTTGCTGATGATACAGTTTTTATAGGTATTTTATTCACTTACAAAAAAAAATTATATCATTTATTACCATTATCATAAATAAGTTTATAAGAACTACAACATCTAAAGATAAATGTTCTGAAATCTTGATAACTGAGAACTACATGTGCTTGGGAACTATTTCGACATGAAGGGATTATGGTACTTGGTACATAATACTGCCTTCATTTTACACAGATCCAAATTACATTGACCAGTTTATTCAAATCTAAGCATGGATAGTTTTATGACAGACTTGAACATGGTCTTATTGAAAAGAAAATTGAAGCAGAAGAGTTCAATTGATTTCATCCTTCACTTTTCATGAAGTGGTTGGAGCTGAAGTAGTGTGAGGAAATGGCAAAGTTCTACAGCAGCCGTTTTTTCCTTGGGCTGGTTTTCCAGTATTAAACTTATTGCATTGTCATGTGTACCAGGCTGAAGTTCTAGCTGGTAAAATAAAGAGATTTGTCTTTAACAAATAAATTATTCAGGGGAGATACATTTATCATTAAATAATGTTCAAACTTACAAATATGAATAGTTTTGAGCTGCATATCTGAAACAAATTTATACCCTGAAGTGAGAAAATTGGTCATTTGCTGTCTTGCAATACTTACCATTCTATTTCAAATATGTACAAAGTCTTACAATATAACATTCTGTGGCTGAAAACGTAACAAGTTTAACTAGGATTCATTCAATTTTATTTGATCTAATTTTTGTGACTCATTTGAAAAAACTTCAACATGGACGGTATCATCAACAGCACAGAAATCATTCTCAGCACAATCCAGCTTCAACTGTCGTTCCTCTATAAAGTGCATTTGAAAAAACTTCAACATGGACAGTGTCATCAGCCGCACAGAAATTGTTCTAAACGAAATCTATTTTCAACTGTCACTCATCTGTAAAATGCAATTTTCTATCAATCACCTTATCTGTAATATTTCTATCCACCATGAGCACTTTTAAAGATTTGAAAAAGTTTCTTTCAAAGAAGCAGGTTTAACCTTTTAAGTCTAAAGTTTCGGCTAAAAGGTTCAGAAGTAAGGTACAGAAAAGTTAGAACATGCATTTGACTATTTTAGTACGAGAAGTGCAAAAACAAACTACAGAATACATGTACTATGAAGCAAAAGTGCACATTCTTCATTGAACTGTGCAAAACAATTCCATCTTTTTTTTCCAATTGTAAGTAGATACTTGTTTCCTTTCGATACGGCAATTTGAACAGGCTCTGTAATAATAGAATTTTCACCCAAATGTTCCAATAATTCTTGCAAATGTACTTTTAGTGTCAACTGCATTTAAATTTTACAGTAAAGTTGTTACAGACGTTAAACCAAACAGTTCCATAAAATGCTGCTCAGAAAAGTCTGATAGTGTCATCTTATCCATTTTGAACAGCCTATTGAACAATAAGCCAACTGGTGACAAGAATTACAAAGACAACTGTTTTCACTATCTCTACAGATTCATCTACTCTTCCAAGCTTAGTTTACAACTGGGAACTACATTATGCACTCTTCTTTTAACAATCTACTTCGAGGGCATGCCATTGAAATACTGAAACTAAAACAACATTCTATTTATCAGTCAATACTTTTAAGTCTTTGATGTGTTCTTTCACATTTACTGTTTCATTACTTTTACATGTAACATTTGTTTTTGGATGTTATTTTTTCAGTGTTGGTACGTAATTACACACTAAGTAAAACTCAACATGCAAGAATCATATTACTATATCAATGTTAGTGTGGCTGATGGAATGTGCAGAAAGTCAAAACATAAAAATAACAGCCACTGATGTAATTCTTTGCCAAACCCATCTAATTGATTTTCTTTTCGGATTTTGTATTGTCGTTGGAGTCTTGCAAGATGTTTTGTGCTTGCGATTTTTCTGCCAAAGCTCGTTGTTTCCTCTTGCTTGTGACATAAGTCTCAATGAAGAAATGCACAAACAGTACAAAGTAACTTAGGTACATCAAAAAGGATGCTCGTAGATTGGCGTCAGTTGTAGCACAGAATCCCCCATTGCTCCGGATGGAGTAGGCATAGCCATTGACGAAGCAGCCCACAAACATCTGCGCTATCTGCAGGGATGTGATCACGATATTGACCCAAGTTGGAATGTTGACCCATTTAGAAGCCTTGAGGGCATAGTAGGTATACATCAGGGAATGCACAGTGAAGTTCATCAGGACAAAGTAGCGAGATGGGGCCACCAGTTGTGGATAGGTATACCAGGAGTAGATGAGAACGGTGATATGGTGATACCAGTGAAGGAAGATTAACTTCTGCTTCCTCAGGACAATGAAGACGGTGTCACCCAACTCCGGAAGCTTACTCAGAACAAACAGCCACGACCAGAAGCCTACCACGCCCTTGTAGAGGGTAGGGTCACACACTGAAGCTTTCCAACCATAAGCCCTGATGAAATCTATGGTGTAGACCCATACACGAATGGCGCCTATCCAGCTAAACACTGCTAAGGAGAAGGACCATATTACCAGGCTTAAGCGGAGATCGAACCGAGGTCTATTCTCCATGTAAATCCTCCCAAAGTAGATGAGAACTGCATACAGGGCGCTGTACACAATCGACTTGGTCCAATTGTTCTGGAACCACATCAGCGAGGCGTCAACTTCTTGCATATCGAATTTCTCGAACTTGAACGAGTGCTTCGGGTCCCAGACGGACCTGTTTGAGCTGGCCAACACCTCATAATTGTCAAAGGGGAAATTATCGGTGTACTCGAGAGCACTGTGAGCCATTTCTAAATTCAATTCAAAATTTACTTCTGTAGACTTCACAAAATTCTCACTGTTCTACGTACCGTTCGTTGCATGCATTCGCTGCGAACAAAAATAGAAGATGTTCCCATGCTCAGAGCTGACGGCTACTTGTATAAAGCAGGCTAAGTGCTACAGGTCTGCGGTGCAAATGCATTTCTTTTATTTTATTTCAATTCATCACAATGCACAATCTCCAGTGACAGCAAGAGGACCCTTGTTCAGTGAATCATGCCGAATATGCCTGATCAAAATTTTAAGGACATGTGCGTGTCATCACGCGGTGACCTCTATTAGCATATTACTGTTTATCAGTTGGCTGTTATAGTCATCAGTGCTACTCCCTCACTTAGTGCGACTCCTACGATATTTTGAAAGAAGAATTTCCCCGTGCTAAGCTTATAAGATGCCCGAGATGCGAATAAACTAAAGGTAACGTGTATTTGTTTGGTATTGTACATTTGAATTTTGATACCAAGTCAGTGTTGGATTTTTTGTTTTTTATCGGATGGAGTGGGTTGAATTGCTATGATAACGCGAGTACTTAGCATTTCGCAGACTGATTGGCTGGCTGTAAATCAGGTGGTTTAGCGTGATGTAGTTGATGGGCGGATATTTTTCCTCAAGCCAAACTTTCCCTGTCGTGAAGTCGTTTGATTGTCAGTGATTCGCATGATAGCATGAGAGATTTAGTGGCAAGGGTTTGACGATAAGTGTAGTCATCAACTGAAATACGACCCTATAATATTCAAGTAAACCTGAAAGACTTGAATATTTTGCCCATTTTTGGCCGACATTGCAAAGTTTACTGACCTTTGTACGACTGCAAGGTCATGTCATATGTCAAAGTGTGTCATGCGCAAACAAGAAAACAAGATGGCGATCCCCTTGACGAAGTCGCGCCGCTGTATGCATTTCTCAGTTGTCTTTCTGGTAAAACTATCAATGTTTACCTATTTAATCCTTGGTAAGTGAGAAGTGCATAATGAAATTGGGATTTTTGATTGGATTAAGTGGAGTAGCTCTGCTTCTTTTAAGTGCTTTCATTTTGGCCTTGCCATTTCAAGTTTCCGGACAAAGTCAACTCAAATCACAATGTGTTGTCAAAGAACGACACGAAACAAGATGTGCACAGTTAACGCATTAGAGTAGACATGGCAGACCAGCATCTTGGTTATTGCAGAAAATGTGCATTAAAATCATGCCAACTTACATGACTGAAGTAATTGTTTACCTAGCCCCACTTGTGTGGCACGGACTCTCGCTACCGCTCCATCCTTAGCCACACATCCGTATACGCAATTTGCGTGTTGGTGTTGTGAAAAAGTTCGGCGCACCCTTTTATAATCATAGGTGTAACTTTTTTTTGCACACAGAGATGATCCATAGCCTCTTGGCTTTCTTAGCGCCATTTATTGAATGATTTCACTCACGTTGTTAAGGTATTTTAAAGTCTTTTTGCTTTCACCCATTCAATCTCACGGGCCCTCTCTCACAGTCGTCATCTTTGAAATAAGGTCATTGAACATTACGTCACTTGACCCCTCATCATTTCGACGGCAGTTTCATGTCAAGACATATCTAATACATGGACTGAGCGATAAGATACTGCATGTACCAATGGGCTCTTCCAAAACTTGGGCAGCAGTTTAGATATGTCTTGACACGGAACATAAGTGAAGAAAAGATAAGATAGGCCTAACGCCTAATTCAACAGCAATTCTCACGGTCCGAGGTTGTTCCATTTATTGCGCTCACATCTGGGCAAGGGGGCAACCCTCCCTTCACATTATACAGGGATTTGTATGTTTTCCTTATTTTTTTGCTGCAACAAGATAAAAATAACTGAAACCTTTTTACAACAGTCGATTTCATTTTTTGAAAGGTATTTTGAAATGTGTAAGATATTTGACTGTTAACTTGTACCCATTTGCTTTTCCTTTTTCTTTTTTTACACAAATAGGCCTAATGTTGTGTGATTATGTTTAAATTTTATCGGATTTTTTTGTCTTCAACATACATGTACATTTTACACAGGAGACTGAGAATGATATCAAATGATTTCAATTTAAAGCAAAAGTAAAATTCCCAAATGTCAGAAACGATTGACCATTCTGTAGTTGGGTAGTATGACTACCTGTATACAGACTGTGTGTCAACTAGTCACTAGACAGTTCTTTTAAAGTACATCGTATTTTCTCTTGATCCATGATTATGGTGTGGTTTATTTGTTATTTTCTGCCAGTATTTCTGATGCTTGTATTTGAATTTATCAACACAGATATTGTGCATTCTGCAGAAGATAAGGAGATTTCACAGGAGAAAGGCACAGACTTGTTTACTTCAGAGAATCACATCCAAGGAAGAGGCTCACCTGATAGTGCCTCACCTGACTTGATGACATCAGCCGAACAGGAAAATGAAGAGATGTTTGAAAATATTTTAGAAAAAACATGGCAACAAATAGGAGATCTTCATGGGGGGATCAGACCTGAAGTAAAAATGGCAAAAGAAGGGACAGTTGTTACTGGAAAGGAATATAAACGTTCAAGGCCAGACTCTTCTACTCCTATGGATTACATCCAACTCTTGGCGTCCTACATGAGGCCTGAAGTGTTCCACAAGTTTATTGAAGGTCTGAACAAGACACTGGATGCCCACAAACAGTACTCCCATCCTGAATTCACCTATGTAAATACAACCGAGATACATGCAGATGGATCTCAACAACACAAAGTGAAATATCCTTGCATGCACAGACCTACTGGAAACAGAACGTTGCATGTTAAAATTGTTAACAACACTGAGATGATGGAGTTGGTGAGCAGTGTTTACCATCCACCGAGCCAAGACAATTCGTCAAGCGTGCTGGGGGGTTACTGTGCATTCGTGATGTTTTACGCCCCCTGGTGTAAGTTTTCTGCTAAGGCTGCACCAGCTTTTAATGCCATCGGGAGAGCATTTCCAGATCTCGAGGTGTTAGCGATTGATGCCTTTCAGTATAACAGGTGATTATTAAAGTCATAAATGCTGTTTTCCTTCCAGGATTCCCAAGACAAAAGGACAAAGATTATTCGCATCACATATCAAAGGTCGTGTTATTTGTGTGTAAGCAAGTGGTAATTGTTTTGGTTCATCTTATGTAAAATTTCTCATTTACAGACACATTAATCAGAATAGTCATTGAAGCCTAAAATCTTTGTCTCAGACTAGCAAGTCACAATTTTCATAATTGATCTCCACATCCCAATCTTCATCTTGGCTTGGTTATTTGTTGGCTTCAAGTCTACATTAATAAGATCTTGGCTTAGTATTTTTGAAAGTGTAATTTTATCATTGCATCCTTCTCATTCAGTTTGAACACACGGTTTGGAATTGTTGCCGTACCGAATGTCTTACTCTTCCACAATAGCAAGCCAGTCATGAGGTTCAACTATTCACAAAGGACATTTGACGTCTTCAGTGGATTCATTAGGAACTTTACAGGTAGGTTGCTAAAGAAATTTGCTGGTCTCGCACAAAGTACATACATTTCCTAACCAGTGCCTGGGATATTTGACTTAAGAATAGATGAGGTAAAATCCTATGTCCTGATTCTACTATATCCCAAAACTGGTTACTTTATAAGAGAAACTGTGATGGCGGATTCAGCTGCATTGCGGTTGTTCTCCAATGCATTTTCATGATGAGTTACGATTTCATACAGGAAGGGCTTCTGTTTTTCACTAACCTGCTAACTTACTGAAATTAGATTTGTCAACCTGTCGCGGACATAACTGGTGCCTGAATGATCCAGTAGTTGTATCCCAGGCTTTGTCCCAGAGACTTGTTAAATGCATCAAGAAGGTTGAAGCATTTTATGGGGCTTTTAAGAATGGGGTGTGAAATCTGTGCACATTCTTGGATTTGGAATGAAGGCATAAGGACTTGAATGTCTTGGAAAATAAGGGAGATTTCTTATTTCAAAAATTCTGAAAGTAGAAATTTGATGTGAAGGCTTTTTCCCCAGCTGTTTCTGGTTTAGTTTCATGAGAGTTTATCTTTGTACTCCTTTAACTGACATTGTAATCAATGGTGTGATTGAGATCTTCTATTTTGAGGTATTTAATCTCAATTTATAAACAAGCTTAACATGATAAGAATGGAGGGATTATATTATCAGTCACAGTTTTCAACATCATAGCTCCTTTCTAAAGAGAAACTTGCTGCCTACATGTTTAGGGGTTCCTGTGTCTAGGAGTTTCTCCTGCATTGATTATTTGAAGCAGTTAAATCAGATAAAAAATACATCCAGACATTTGTCCCACCTCTAAGCTATTTAAATCTGTCTATACATGTATGTTGCAATGACAAACACTTCACTGCTCTGAAAATATATTTAGACCAGGATTTTGACCCTTTAGTGGTAAATCTTATCACCAAATTTATTTTGGAAGTAATCCTTTTATCAGAATGAGGATTACATGCTGACTAAACTCGCTAACCTGACCAGTATTTACTGTTTAATCTGCTTTAAGTTAGTGAGGCTGACAAAGTAAATTTCATCTTGGAATAAAACCATATCTAAATTTATCACTGTCTCTTTAGTCTGTTTAGAAAGATAAGTAAAATGTTTAATGGAAGTGTTTTTCATTGAATATCCTGACAGTTAATCCTCTTAATGTATGTCAAATAAGATTTTTGGAATGGATTTGACATCGGAGGTTATACATGTAGATTATTTATAGATCCTACATGTATCATGGCAAAACCAGACAGCTCAATCAAATTATCACGTTGTCTTTTTTCCTGTGAGATTTCTGCCATAATTTTTCCCAGAAACCCAAGCCTTGGGGTCATAAGTGGAAATTAAGTATTATTTTCGAGGGACCCATTTCTCACTTTTTATGGGTTTATTAGGAAGCACACCATTGAAATAAGGAAAATGAGCAAATTGAGTTTGGTCAGATATGTTAGTGTGTTGTGCAGAGACTCATCGCAGGTACCTATGGCCAGTTTCCACCCAGAAAGTATTCTTAATTTGTACAATTCTCGTTTTTCATCCAACCAGGTCTGGAACCCAATTCCTCTGTCCAAGTCTCAGAAGAAGACTATCTTGGTCCAGTCCCCAGTGTAGCAACAGAGGAATCTGACTATGCTCTCTGGCTGTCATGGTTATTCCTCATCACTGTGTTGCTGTGGTTCCTCCAGCAACAAGTGGGTAGTATCATCATGGATCGCATCAGGGTATTTGCCATTTATGCCCGCCAGGTTTGGCGAACAGGAGAGCTGTATGATCAGGTTGGGGTCTTGGTCCATGAACACCATGACTGAGCAGGTATTACCCTAATCAAAGTGGCGAACTAAGCTTGAATCCAGTTCCACCTACATATACTGACTTTGCTTTGTCTATTGACATGTGGAAGTCCATTGCAGAAGTCATTAATGGGTGCCTTGCCAAAAGTGATTGATTGATATCTATAGTCATTGCTTCAAAGCTGGAATCATTGCCTATTCACTCAAAGAGGGAACAGAAGAGGGCGTATTTCAAATGAAATTGACAGTCCTTTGGTATGAACTCACGGCATATGAGCGCAAGTTTTTGTGCATTTGACATTCTGAGTACATGTAACAAATTTTTTCTTGAAACACGTGCAAGAACCCAGTTGGAAAACTTTGTACCAGTCTGCCTTTCTTTTGCCGGTGAGGGTGCACTTCAACTCAGAGTGGATTGGGCCTCTTTTCTTACAAACGGAAGAAAGAAGTTTGGGTAGAGTGGAGATTGGTTTCATTGTAGAGAGATAATTGGTTAAAAAATGACAACAGATGACACTGCTGGTTGTCAAACGATTCAAAGTGATCAATTTATTCAAACTGTACTTTGTGTTCTTTAGGACACTCAAAAATATGTGAAAAACTTTTGTCAAAATTCATAAAATTTTTACTCCGCTCAAAATTTACATATCAAAACATCTCATATTTTTGCAATCATTCACACCAATGAATGTTTTGAAGTCTAAAAATTTAAATCATACATCTTGTCAACCTGAACATGTGTGGCAAAGCTGCATGACACTGTTGTTCTAGTATTTAATCTAGAACAGTATCATATTGGAATGCATGGCTACTTGTGCACTGTGCTTGCTCTTACATACACACACACACATCCATACACAGCTGTACTTGTGGGGTATTTCCTTTGTTCTCGTGTACAAAACTCCCACACAACACGCAAAACATTTCAAATCACTCCAATTTAAACCAAATTCACTTTCCTGGGTTGAAATTTCCACCGTATGTCCCTTAAATAAAACACTTCAATTTGCGACCGATTTTTACCCATCAAAAATTTCCCCTTTTGGAGTTATTTCCAAATATCAGTTTCGTGAAATTCTTGTGTAAAAACTGGCCTTGTGGGGTACCTCCCATTGTTCCAGTACCCCACAAGGCCTCATGTATAAACGCACAGTCACAAACGTTATAATACTTAGTGTTTGTATTCCTTTGTTTTCGTGCAGTGAAGAAAAACTCAGTGAAAATACTCGTTAGCTGTTTCGGGCACCGGTGGAAACAAATATTGTTTTTGTTAATTTTTTTTTTCTTTTTTTTTTATACATTTTTTAAAATTTCTTCTTTCGCATCAAATCCCATTCCATAACACGGGTTTTCATTCTGAGCAGGACTTTTGCCATTTTGCAATTTTTCGATTGACTTCAAACTTGACAGGTCTTTCAACCATCATCCAAAAATGGTCCTAGAAGAAATTCACAATGATAACTTAATTAGTTTATTTATTATTGATTTTTGAATAATTAATTTTTTCCATAGACTTTGTGCACAGATTGCACAGAGTTTTTGGACTGTCCTATATCAGGCTGTGAGGGCGCTATTGCAGAATTATGGTAACACCTGTCGGATGGGGCTTCAATTTTCAACAAACTGTCCTATATTGAACCACAGATGGCGTTGTTGCACAAGAACGTTAAGACTACCTGAGCTTCGATTTTTGTCGATCATTTGTGAGCAGTCCTCAAATTCGACAGAGAATTACTACCAGAACGAAAGAGAAATCAGACTAAATTTTCCCTTCCGTTCGATTGCAACTATACCCAAGACTCAGATCCTCAAGTAACATTTCAGGTATTTTTTCCATTTTAGACAAAAATCACATGACATAAAATTACAGGAGCAGTTTTCCTGCACACATGTTTCTAGTCCATTGACTTTGTACATGTTTTCGAGCCAGAATTTTGGTAACTTTGCAATGCTTGATCGTTCCCAAAGTGATAGTCGACAAAAACCCTGATGCAAGATTTATTGCAAAGGGATGATGTCATGATGATGTCATCACTTTATTTTATATTGATTTTTTAATTTTTTAATTTTTCGCCACGGGTTTTGTAGTCCTTTACAGGTAGTCCTTTACTGTGGTGCAAAATTACTACAAGAACGAAAGAGAAATCGGGTACTTTACGCTCTGTTATTTGAAATGTGGCTAAGAGTCTGAATACGTAGTAATATTTCATAAAAATTGTTCAGTCTAAGCGCAAATCACGTGACACGAACTTAAAGGAGCATTGTGTCTGCAAACGAGTTTATGGCCCATTGACTTTGTACACGTTTTCGAGCCATGATTTTGTAACTTTGCGATGTTTGATCGTGGACAAAATGATAGCCAACAAAGACCCTGATGGAAGGTTTACAGAAAATTAATGACGTCATGATGACATCATCACATGATTTTTAATTGAATTTTGAATATTTAATTTTCCTTGTTGACTGTGTACACAGATCTAAGCCCTTATTTTGGTCACTTAGTGATGTTCAATGCCCATCACAGTTACACTAAGTAAAAACCCTGTAGCAAATATTTTATCAAATGAATGACATCGTGATGACGTCATATCAAGTGACTTTTAATTGAATTTTGAATATTTAATTTCCCCCATAGACTTTGTACACATAGAAAATGCAGCAAACATGCACACACATGCCACAAACCTCACCATCTATGGTCTCATTCATAAAACACACAAATCATCTATATCTTTCCAACACACAACCAGCATTTACACAAAAACCCGAAACAGCTCAGTATTTGTTTACCAACAAAACACAACGTTCATCTTGTTTTTCTTGAACTGGGAACACGATTTTCAGCTGCCTTTTTGTAAAATGTTTCCTCTTCCTTTTACGACATATGATCCCAACCCCAAAATGCCTCTAAAGTTCTTTTTCAGTGAAGGGGAAACGTCCTGTGGACGTGGGTAAGTCCACTGAATGTCCTCCCTTCCTGCATTTTTTTTCACAAGTCCACACTAGCCATGTAAGGTCAGCCCACAAAATTACCCATGCATAAAGCAGGACTGCACTTGGTGCTGATGGATACATGTATTAGCTTGGTGCAGTTATTTGAGCTGATTCCTTGGAAATAGTAATCAAATCCTTCAAAGAATGTTTTCACCGTCTTGTTACCTCAAATCCACTGTGTACATACGGATCTGAAAAATTTGTTGATCTTAAAATCAAATTACAAACCAAAACTTCATTCTGGGATTCTTTTAAAAGTCTTTACAGAATAACCTTGGTGTTGATTGTCTTGTGCAATCCTTTTGGTACAGTAAAACTTTACAGTGTCTGAATTAAATGTTTCAGTGCCAGTTTCTCTATTATTTTGAACAGTTCTTTGAGTGAGATTACTTCATTGGCCGCGGTGCTTCTTTTCTTCAGATACTATAAAACTCAAGTTTGGCATTCATCCCATTACAAACTTTCAAAATGCATGTACATGTACAACAGTTATTTCACATTTGGGTTTTGGTCCCAACCTAGCTTACATGTATATGCAGGCCTAATTCTTGTTGTCCTAGTTGGAGGGTTGTACTTTATTCAAGCATATCACTGATTTACAGCATTGCTTGAGCAAGGAGAAAACAAAGACAATAATCTCCATCAAGGTGATGGAGGAGATGCCGACATACAAGCCCATCAAACCACCCACAGCACCAAGAATGCTTTCAATCTGTAAGGAAATGCATAAAATAACATTAGGAAATACTCAGATACCGCCTGACTATATCCGAGTGAAGTAACCTTACATTCAAAGGAAGAAGCTTATCAGAAGTATACCAGGAATCTTCTCAGAGCAATGCCACAATTCTGTATGCTCCAGTGGAATATGCCATGAATCCTGTCAGAAATCTTTGAGAATTCTTTGGGAATCCTATCAGAATTCTCAATTAACTGTTGACTATATTCCGTATTTCAAAAGAGTTCCACAGAGTTTTAGGGAACTTACCGTCCACTGTGGAATTTGTTCCACTTTCTGATAGTTCAGCTCCTCAAAGTAGATGCGCACACGGGCCAGGTTTTTCCTGCACGTAGTATAATATTATACGAAGTAATTACACTGAAAAGCATTGCTTCGAAAATAAAAGTCTGCGTGCATCTGTGTGCCTAGCTCTATGGTAGATCAAGGTGCTGCTGCAGCTCATCTGCTTGCCCAAAGTGGTTTTTGTTGGATGAAATGGGCAGGAATACATAAAAAGTCTATAATTTGACACACACAGCAACCCTTCATTTGAACCCCCCGTGGGAACATGATACAGTTGATTAGCCTCAGTATAGCATCAACTACCTTAATGGTTTTGTGTTCTTACTCTGGTAGCATTTAAAGTTAAGAAGTTTACAGCTGAGTAACACAGAAAAGGAGAATTCTAATGAAATGACAAGCTTTGTTTGGATTGTAAAGCAGTTTCAATTTCTATACAATTTCTGAGGAATCTGAAGGTTTATCTTTGTCATCAGGAACACAGCTTACCTTGTTGTTTCTACATCTTGCAGCATTCTTGCAGCAACGGCATTCTTTGAAGACAGTCGTGAATAGAGATGTTCCTTTTATCAACCGAGAGGAAAAGTTTTTGTTAACAAGCAATGTTGAAGAAAGTAAATGTTGGAATTTGATTTTTGGGAAGTCTGTCTTGTGTCTTACTTCTAGTCATGATACATTCATGAGTTAAAGAACTCAATGTTAGAATTAAATTTTGGGTTCAAGTTATTCAACACTTTGACACTTGGCATAGGCTTGGAATGTAACTTTTCATCTTGTCAGACGAATTGCTCTCTTTGGTGCCTAAAAGTCACTTCCTTTGACCTTGTTGATGGAATCAAGAAGCTCAAGTCCAAAAATTGCACAAATCTCAAGTGAGACTCACCTCATATCGCTCCGAGGGCCATATGGACACAGATGCACTTGTCTTGAAAACATTTTCCCTGTTAAAGACCAAGAGGGCAACATTTCATCAACATTCAAATTTTGAGATGGCTGCACGTTGGATCATTTTAACCTAGCCATTAAAATAGGTCAACTTTGTCCCCACGAACACACGAAAGGTGAGTTGTCAGATTTGTTTTACACTTGCTGACAACAATCTGAGAAGATCGTTCTGTATTTAATGTACTCACTCGCATGCCACAGGGCAGAGACAATCCAGTTTATCTTCTTCGTATAAAGCCTCAACAAGCTGTCTACATCGCTCTGTGGAATGAAAGTCAAATTGCCAAATTACACTTTTTGTCCAGTGTAGTGTTGCAGATTTATTTTGGTCAGTATTCGAGTCACGGTCTGATCGAATTTGTCAACGTCATGGTGCTGTGGTCTCAAAATAAAGGTTTTTGATCTAGTGTTGCACAGTCGGATCGGATTTGTTTGGGGGAGATGGAGAAGTCTTTACTCAAATTGGCAAATGGAATCATAAACTTTTAAATGTTTCATCGTCGAACAGCGATGGTCCAATTTCAGCATTGAGCTGAATAGGTCACCCCTGCTTTGGAAGGAAAAAAAAGACAAAGTGCTTTGCTGCAACTATTCATGAGGAAGTAGGACCTTCTCTTGCGATGCAGACTCAAAGACAGTTAACTGAGTGCCACCTCACATTATGGTCGGACAATTGCAGGGGAGGATTTACCCCTCAACACTTTGGATGAATGTAGTACAAAAGTATTGCATGTTTTTACACCTATTGACTTTTCATTTAAAAACGCAGCTCTGACCGAGAGTCTGAACAAGAGTTGCTTGAAGCATCTGCTTGATTATTGCCTCTTCCATTGACCACGAGCTGACGTTTTGTTCCAGTATCAAGAAAGTCTTACGCTGAGTGCTGTTAAGGTAACTACACTTCTCTCCGTCCAGCAGAAGGTCAGTGACGCAATCACACCGATCCTTCAGGTTTCTCTGCATACACTGCTTCTTGCACGTCAAGGGAGAGTACGTAAAGAAATCTGAGGTGAAATTGGTTTCGGTTCCGTAGGTGCAGTTGCTGTACCACCCACCAAGACGCTTGATGAAATTCTGGGGATTTATGATATGAGACTGGTGATTTTAATTTGATTTCGGTGACGTGCTGTCTGCCCATCAGAGGTGCGTTCTAGAGCGCAATGCTACCGGTATGCATGGGGGGGGGGGCAAACAGATCACAAATATTGAAGAAAAGTGTCCCTTGTAGGAAAACAGATAAGTGATGGTTCGGAAGGACCACAAGTGACAGGTGTAGACAGCGAAGTACGTGTTAAAAGACGCTTTAACCTACGCTCAAACACTTTAAGATGACTGGGGGCAGAAATAACAGTACGTTTAAGAGTATTGACCTACTCTCCGCAGTTGTGGTAACGATAACAAAGAACCCGACTAGATATCGACCAGTTTGAATTTTAAAATTCAGTGTTAAAAGTTAAACGATATGCTGTGAACTTCAGTCAAGTACGGAAATACAGAGTGAACCGTCATTTGTCCATGTGTAACACGTGATGTTTCACAGTACCTTCCTCAGAGCAATAGACGTAGCCTGTCCAGTAGTCGCAGTGATACCACTGTCTTCAGGATGGGGTGTAGTCTGCCAATGGTTTATGGAGACACGAACTCCAGATTCGGGCGAGAACAAACCAACGTACTCTGGCTGCTCGATGAACAATGTCAGGTGAAGACCTGATCACAAAGTTTTAAAAAAGGTCATTTCATTCAGTTACATGAAACTATTTAGCGTTCTTTCTTGTTTTGACGGATAGCAGACGTTTCAATCTTTCAAATGAAACTAGGGAATATTAGTTGTTAAATTGTTAAATTTAATATCCTCGATGCCTTGGTAGCTAGGTGTGTTTTGTGCCAGACACAGATTCTGCAAGAGACCGAATTTTTGCAATGTTTTCTCCTTGATCACTTAAGCCAAGGGAAAATCTTCATAACGTGTATGGACCAGACTCTGTTATGTCACATTCATGCGGACCAGTTGACAGCCTGAGAACTCACCATATTGGAAGCCTGACTTGCTGGTTGTTCGCACGGTTTCGTTGCGACCGTGATTGAACGTGAAGCAATTTCCGTAATGCGAGTTCTGAAACTTGTAAAAGTCGCTGCAGAAAGGGACAGAAATGGGCTGGTTTCATTTTGGGGGGTTAAGCAGAGAGAGTGTGTGTACACTTGGGACGAGGTACCGGTAAACCAAGGTAGAATAATGGTCCCACAATCTAGCACTACCAATTTAGTGCCAGGACTCAATCGAGCTTGGTGGTCAGTCTCAATGAGTACTAAACGGAAGTTAAAACAACTTTGCATTTCTGTGTGATGTGAAAAGGATAAGAATGTAAATTGGAACATCTTTAAAGATTACCAAACTGAGGGGTGTAGTCTTCAAAACTTGCGATGTCACCTTATTTTTAGAGCCAGAATCGAAAAGAGTAATAAAAGTGCTCGACTTTTGTACTGAACAGAATGTGCATGTAACTTTATAGCTAAAGTTTGTGCACATCAGGATGGTAAGAATTATTTTAACAACTGATAAAAATTCTGCACACAAACCCAGGAAATGAATACAACTAGCCAACTTTATCAAAATGCTTGTAATACACTTAAGGAATCTACACGAGTGTTGAGGGCCGAAAATGGCTGTTCAGTCTGTAACATACACGCGAATTCTGAGCCCACTTACAGCATCAATAATGGAGTGAGTTGGTGCATTATTTTGCAGTGAATAATACCACTGAAAATGTTACTCACGTGTAGTTGCATTTACGCCTGTCGAACGTGCACTGGAGGATGAAATCTTCTGCTTGATGGCCGAGTTCATCCATCTCATCTTGGGTAGGATTAGCCACATTGATTATATCACTGAAATCTTCTGATTTGGAATTAGCCAAGAAGCCATCCCAGTCGCTTTCTCCCGTCACGGTACCGAAATCGTAGTAGTTGTCGTACTCAAAATTGAAGTCGTCTCCAAATTCTGTTTCCCAGTAGTAGTAATTACTGGATGCTGGTGGATATGAATAGCTTGACCCAGCCGCTGAACTCCCTCCACCGCCCGCTGAGCTCCCTCCCCCACCCGCAGAGCTACCTCCCCCGCCCACAGAGCTACCTCCTCCGACTGACGAACTGTTTCCCCCGCCCGCGGAGCTACCTCCTCCGACTGACGAACTATTTCCCCCGCCCGCGGAGCTACCTCCGCCGCCTCCCGAACTTCCCCCGCCCGCTGAAGCACTCACGAATTGGTTGTAGAAGTCACCTGCTGAGGACCATTCAAAAAACCAAGAGTAGTCATTATCGCCTCCACTGATTCCCCCGTCTATTGCGATGACACCCTCGAAGCGGGTTCCTGGTAACTTGGACCGCCTCAGCCGGTTCATGTTGCACACCGTCACAGCGGGGAAATCCACTGACGTGTTTGTAATAATATCAATGGTGGTACCATAGGGCCAAGAGAAGAAATCGAGAACCAGGTTAGTGCCTTGGAAGAAGAAGCCTCCAAATGCAACGCAGAGGATAACTAACCACAGGAAACTAGCAAAGCAGGAGGAGGCGTTGGCGATACGGGCGACTCCATGCGCTGTCGTCGAATCAGCAAAATTGGTCACAATTGAGCCGCAGGTCACCGGATGATTCTCCTGTTGAGAATAGATTTCAAAATAATAAAAAGCTGGTACAGTTATTTTTTGCTTGTAACGAATAACATGGTTCATCCTGTCCGCTGTTCTCCCCCAAGAAACTAAAAACGAGCAAAGCACTGCTTCTACCTAGTGAATAATCACAAAATGTAATTGCATCATTTAGGCCCTACATCTTCTGAAGTGAAGTCTTCCAACTGTCTTTATTTCCGAATGTAGATTTCGCAATAGTGAGTTTGTTGAGGAAAACACTATTTGTTCTTAATGTGTGCTTAAATAGGCTTTGCTTTCGTCAGGGACGGCTGATGTGATTGGCTCAGAGCCCTCTTGGTAGCACCGGTCATACGTCCACAAAGGTTCACCCACCTTCTCTGGTTCAGCTGCTTTGGCTTCAACGCTAGTGGGGGCTTTATTGTGGTAACTTGGCAAGGGAATGGATTCCGATGGCATGACGACAAAGGCGTCGTCATATCCTGCTGGGATGCCTGTTGTCATGGTATTTTTGCTGTAAGAGTAATTCAGAACAGTATTTACAGATCAAAAGCAAAATTCCCACAGATGCCGACTAAAAAGACTCTACTTTCAAAGAAATAATGATGGGAGGCTCCAGCTTTCTGATCTGAAGTCTTTGATCTGGCTCACTTTCGACTCTCCTTGTACAAAATCACAAGATGTCTTGCAACACCATTGGTTTGAAGGTCATAGAAAATGGTTTGGGTTGGAGACAAAACCGAACTTTAAAAATAGTTCATGGTTTGTCCATCCTTCGACATCCAATTATTTGAATGGTGGTGTTTCACTAAGTTCTTGCTTCCTTTCTCGTTTCGTTTTATGAGTCACCATTGTGGCTTTTACCCATTCCAGAGTGAATTGTAGAACGAAGATGAAGTTGCTTAGCAGTACGGTATACTGAAAATCAGTTGAGTAGGTTTGTTTTTATGGGGATGAAGATGGATATAGACAAAATATGAAAGTTTATGGAAATATCGGCATTACCCACTTACAGTATCTTGGTTACTAACCCAAAGCGTATAAATCTTATCAACTAAACAGGTCTTGGAATGTCATAAAATGTGCCTTTATGTAATTCATTTGCTCTTTGCCAGCTTCAACTTAAAAAAAATTTGATAGTAATTTCTGTTACCAGTTTGCAACTATTGATTTAACATAGTTTAACGGTGCTTATGTTGATCAAAACAAGTCAAAAATAATGTGACCCACCATACCAAAACCAGGTTGAAGCAGGTTTACTTGACAATGTATGCCCCTGCTGTTAAGTTTCACATTGCAAAATGACCCACAGGGCAAATTTTAATCTGCTGAAGGTTCTGGTAGCGATGGGCAAGTAAACGTTGTTGAAATTCCACTTTTCATATGCGTACTGTTTCATTTTCTGGATGCTAACTTAGAAACCTTCAGCCCGAAAATCACCTCTTTCTTCCGATTAGAAAACTCTCATAGTAAATACTCGTAATACTTCCGTGCAACTTCTTCTTATTTCTCATTGCCTTTTCGTTATTGAAAATACATGTGTATGATGTAGATTCCAGTAGAGACTGACTTTGTCCCCGACATACGTCAGTATTAAACGGAACCCTGTCGAGAGCTTAATACTTTTTATCCAAAGGAGACTCATAAGTACATGTACACCAATCGAGAAAATGTGCTCACTGCACTTACCTCATCATGACCAGCTTTTCAGCGAGGTGGTCCTTGATATGGTTTCCTTGACTGGGTCTTCCTTGATGTGAATTTCATTCAGAATGAGTTACCCTGGGAAACAACAGAGAAGCGGGCCCCTTCACACCGCTAACTCAACTCCTGTGTCCTCTCAAGAAAACGAAGTCCACAAGAAGGTAAAATCTTCCCGTCTTTCTGTGCTGGGCTATCGACATCTGCATTATACGTGCATTGTAAAAGTACACAAAAACTTTGAATTCAGCATAAGAAGTTTTCCTTGCCGCTGGCTAAATATCGATTCCTTGTACCACTTGCTTAATCCCCAGGACTTACCGAGGGTAGTACGTAATCTGTTGCGGAGAATAATGGTTCTGTCGTTATGGTAACAGAGGACTGCGTTGTAAATAATTGGTTGACTGAATGGGAGGGGCCGGACTCGCCAATCATCGGGTCAGACGTCAGCTCAGACGCACACCCCTAGACATCCCCGCCTCTGCCGACCACTTAGCCACGCCAATATCCAAACATACCCAACACCCAATGATTATCAATCTAATGTGTTCATGTATAGTACCTCCATTGTTAGTTCTGCTTCGTTCATAATCCATTTGTTCTATACAATCAAATTATTCAATACAGGACACTCCAGAGAAATGAATATACGAGATCCCACAAGCCTCTGGGAAGAAAAGACCAACAAAAGTCCCTCAGCTGACCATCCTTAAAATCTCCTCCACGATGGGTGTGCATCTATAATTCATGCGAGAGCCAAATCGACTCCCGGTCGATGGTTGAACAAAGATTACGAGACCGCTATATTCTAAAGAGATAGCTCGATCCGAAGACAGAGTGTGCTGATCCTATGAATCAGATTTTATTTGCGAACATGTTGACAAAATAACTTCCTTGACGCTGGCGGATGACTTCTATGAACATCAATGAGCGGGGTAGTCGGTGGTCTCGAGTATCCTGAGTAGTTTTATTTAACATTATGCTCCCCAAACTGATCAAGGATATTTCGAGTGTTCATGCAATGAATAAAAATTTGACACATACTTTTCCAGTAGAGCGACGTTGAACCTAAAAAGGCATTCTTATCAGAAGGGTTGAAATTGTCGTATCTTGATTTCAACTTGCAAAATGTGGATGGATTTAGAGCACAGTGGCATCAATGAAAATGCCCTGAAAATGGAAACGTGAAATTAAAAATCACGTCAAATTAGATACAGATGATTTACAAGGGCCACTTTCAGACATTAATCAGTAATCTGTCAGCGTCTTCTCTTTATCTTTCGTATTCTGGGCTAAGGGTGATGTAGAACAGCACCCTTTTGGACATACGAACAACAGTGCCGTCGCCAAGAGAATCCAGTAACGTGATCAGAACAATCGTGATGCAGTTTTAATTATTAAACATTCGAGTCCTTGCCCCCACAAAATTTACACAGTAGCCTCATGGCTTTTGTTACGCAAAAACGGGGGGATACAACCAATCAATGAGACTGCTTAAAGGCCAGCTTTCCAATTATAATTTGTTGATAAGGGCGCCCTTATTAAATTCTACGGTTCTCATTTCTTTTACCACTTGAGATAAGGTCGGTTGGTCGAAAAAAAAAATCTATAAAAAAAATCCATGTTGCTGGTTTAGGGCTATGCAAGAACCTCAGTCGGAAAGGTGCGGTATACCGAATGTTCACGCGAACGCCGACCTCGGTGTTGGTGGTTTGCGAAATCGTAAGTTTTCAGGGCTTTTGTTTTCAAAGGTCATGCTGGCCAATTTTTTCCCTTCGGTTTTTTTTATTTTTATTTATTACGGTTTAGGTCTTTTTTGCAGGGTTGGCGGGGAAAAAACTTTTTCCGTGATCGGGAGCCCAAAATACGGTCGGTCAGAAATGAGAACCATAGAATATAAAAAGCATGCCCTTATGTACAGTGCCTGCAGTTGGGGGGAAAGGTATTTGTTTATTTTATATTCCTATTTCGGAAGAGTGGAAAGTCTTATTATTGAAGGGTTTGAGCGCCGCGTTTTTCTCGTTGTTATTTCACAATATCCCCTCAGGTGTGTCTACTCCCTCACCTATATCATAATCCTCCAACAGAGAGCAGTTACGCTGGGGGGGGGCGGACTTGGCACGCACATGTCCCCCACCTCAGCCGAAGTCTGTGCTCCTCGAAAGACCCCATTAAGTTTGAGCATTTGATATGTACGCAAACTATAAGCCATACTTATTTGCTTTCAGGCCCCCTTGAAAAAAATCGGTACTTCAGAAATTTACCCCTGTCAAGTTGCTGGCAAAGATGAATGCACACTGCCTCATTCTGACCGGCCTCGCCCTCGTTGTCTCAAACTTTATGTGATGAATAAACCCAGGCCAATGTCCTTTTCTCGACTTGGCTCCCCCGCCCACGGACTGGGTGCCATGAAACATCTGCTGAAACGAATCCTAACGTACAGGTTTGTCAAGAATCAATCGGTTTGCAATATAACTTGTATAAAGAAGATAAAAATCAGTGGTCCTTGCGTTTGTGATGTGAACAAACGTGTACTCATCAGGAAGCACTCGTCAAGTGGTCCATGTTTTTGCTGGCTGGTTATGTGTTTCGCGTAATACCAAGCTTTTTTGTCCTCTTCTGAACGAAGAGAGAATAATCTTCGAATTGGTGGGGGTGCGGTCCTCTACCCCTTCCCCATTCGCTTTACGATACACCACGCACCGCTTCCAGTTCTTTTACCTTGGCTCGCGAGTTCATCTCCGCAAGAATGCCATCTCCTAAAATGCTAGAACAAGCTTCGTCCCAAACTATAATTTTTGTTAAATGCAGGTTTCAGGAAGTTGCTGATAGTGTGGACACAAGCCAGTGGCTTCGCAACACACAGGTATTAGAGGCAGTCCTAGCCGTAATTAACATTTGCAGATAGCCGCATTTGCCAACTTGGGTGTCGGTTGTTGGTGGCGCCCTTCATCTTGACCACGAACTCGTACGACGCGACGAGAGCCGGCGCGCACCCCAAGAAACCGTGACAGTTTCCCGTTGCACTGGGTAAATGGGGCTCATAGCAACAAACTGTAGTTTAGGAATCTAGTTGCATCATACAATTACCTTGAGTCATAGATATAAGTTAATATCACCTATTCCCACAAAAGAATTTTTACTGTTCAATGAAGAAGAACACAGTCACGGAGGAAGTCGATCCTTTTCCCCTTAATTGAGCACTCTCGCACAAAATCATCGCTGCCTAAAAAACAGTAAGGTTAACAATGAGACGAGTTTTTAATTAGTCATTTAGGGGGAGGATTTGAGATTGAAAGCTACCGACGGAGTTTCTAGGCGAAGGTTTTGGGCTATGAAATTTTGTACTAAAAATTGGTTAAAAAAACCTTTTCTGTGTGATCTTGTGTGTTGCGACCAATTTTTTATCACGAATTTGTTTTATCTAAACTAGTGACTGAGAGGAACTATTCTCCAGTAATGGACCCATGTCCGCAAAATTTATGTGTGGCATAGCAATGGCATGTTTAGTATGAATATGGAATAATATGTTGACGTGTATTTTAACTTTCAGCAAGTCGCCCTTTTTCCCCAACTTGCTGAGTGGTAAGCGTGCGTTCGCTGCTTAATCAATTACAAACTCGCACGGACATGACTGAAATCGGCCGCGAACCAGCGAAGCCAACTTGCCGACGTGGCTAAACTGCGCATGTGCACATCCGGGAGTTGCCGAACGCGAACCATACGTGGCATTTGAGAAAGTGCGTAAGTCACTCAATATTTTCAACATTTCACCAGGAAAAGATTCGAATACCTTTTTATAAATTCAACCGAAAGACGTTCTTGGTGTGTTAACGTAGACTTTATATTATCAGCTTTTATAAACTTTCAGAAGTGTGAGAAAACAAAGCAATGTTGTGAACGGTAGGCGGCGGCCATTTTGACTGCAACATGTGAATGGCGATGTGTGTTGACTGTTGGTGATGACATCTTAGACAACGTGTTTGTGCCTTCGTCACATCCAGTGGTACCAAATAGATGAACGTACACGCTGTATCTTTGAGAGCAGTTAGGTAGTAAGGTTGTCTACATATAGAATCATTTACATCTCCATTAAGCTCGAAGTTTTACAGTTGAAGTGAGACATTTTCTGGCATAAAGTCTAGACTTCTTTTCTGTTTGAAACATCTGCACTGATCACGTCATCATCAGTCAGTAGGCCTTACGGACTAAAAAGTTTCCACAAAATGTCACAGTTCATGAATCAAGGAACACCTCAGCAACAGGGTGGATATAACCCTCAACAGAACTACGGACAGCCCCCACAACAGGGCAGAGGCCCAGGCGTGTATGGTGCGCCACCAGCAAACAATTACTATGGTGGGCATGGTGGGCCTGGGATGAACTCACAGCCACCCCCTACCTCAGTCCCACCACCTATGGGACCTCCAGCCCAGGGGACCAAACAGCCCATGGGGGCATACGGAGAAGGAAGGAGTAACTATCCACCGCAGGGCTATGGCCCAGGTTCACCAGCAATGAATGGTCCTTCTAGCCAAGGAGGTCAGCCCCCTTTGTCTAATCAGCAGCCAGCGTATAGCCAGCCTTTACAGAATAATGGTTACAGTGGCCCTCCATCAGTGAGTAGTGGGGCTCCCCTTCTTGGTGGACCACCTACAGGCCCAGGCCAGATTGGATATGGTGGACAACAGAACAGGTTAGTTCCCCTGTGATGTCTGCTATTACTATTAGTGCTAAATTTCATTCTCACAAATTTGTGCATATTAAGGTCACTCAGTACTTGATAATTGATTTGCATATTGTAGAGTTTACAGAAAATATTTCAGATGTATCATCGGCACTGTGGACGGAGTGTCAAGTGATGTCCCTGTATGGAATTCTTTCAAATGTTGTATGCATGTATCAAGTTATAAAGTTATTATATGTTGTTCAAGGAGCGTGCAACGTTGTTCTACATTGTAATTGCCATTGCTGACTAGGTATAGAGTACCATGTTTTTTTTTCCCAGTAGAATGGCCACTTCACAGCCAGGGCCTCCTACCCAGCCCCCAGCCAGCCAATCAGGCTACTACCAACCACAGCAGCAGCAGTATGGCACAGCACCTGGTCAACTGACTAATCAGATGGCAGGAATGAACCTCAGTGGCCCACAGCGAGGAATGGTAAGTTGGAACCCATTTTCCTTTGGCCTACAATCAACGCTTGTTCAGCCTTTGTAAGCGAAGTTTTCTTACGAATTGAGTAATTATTTCTGTACTGAAATTTCAGGAATGTTTACATTATGTTTTAGGGTTACTCAATACCAAACTGACTAGTTTTCTTGTCCCATTTTTGTCAGGGTCCTCCACCAACAAGCGTATCTCGCCCCCAGCCTCCCTCAAGTATGTCGGGACCCCCTCCTCATAGCATGTCTGGACCCCCTTCTAGTATGTCGGGACCCCCTCCTCATAGCATGTCTGGACCCCCTTCTAGTATGTCGGGACCCCCTCAAGCATCAATGAATGTCCCACAGCAAAGAGGCATGCCCCCTTCAAGTATGCCATCCAGTTCAGCCCCACCCTCAGTGTTTCAAACCTCAGGAGGTGGTGCCCCACCCCCATCTGGGCCTCCGTACTCTGTCAGTGGGCCTACTATGGGATATCAACAGCCAGGACCACGTAGTGGTCCCACACCCCCAATGTCTCCTGCCGCAGGCTCTCCGAGAACTGGGGGTGCTCCACCCTATGGTGGTATGGGACAGCCAGGAGTGCAACAACCAGGAATGAGCCAACCGGGAATTGCCCAACCGGGAATGGGCCAACCAGGAAGGGTCCAACCGGGAATGGGCCCGCCAGGAATGACGCAACCTGGAATGGGCCCACCAGGAATGGGCCAGCCAGGAATGGCCCAACCGCCTCAGAAAAGATTAGATCCAGACCAGATGCCAAGTGTGGTGAGTTGTTTGACATTGAGAAAATTGTGTTACCGTTGTGCAAAAAAGAAGCAGCAGGTGTGCCTTTGTGTGAGAATGGTAACTCATAAAGCACATTTCAACAAGAAAGACATGAGGACCTCTACTTGTTCCTGAATTATTACTTCAGAAAAAAATCTTTATCTTGGAAATTTCTTTAACTTTATCTGTTAGATGATTCAGGATTACTAGGGATTATGGTAATTTTGATGTCAACACAATAAGTTTCAATACTCTAGCTCTTTATGTTGATCATTTCTTGAGTTGACCTTCTTTGTTCAATCTTCCTGCAGATCCAAGTGATTGAGGATGACAAGAGGAATCGTGGCAATCAACAATTCATTACCAATGTCAGAGGTCAAGTCCCCCCTCTAGTCACGACAGACTTTCAGGTTGTTGATCAAGGTATGTCATTTTACATCCATACATTTTATGTATTCATGAGATAATTATTTCAGTATCTTCAGTCACACTGTGCATGAATAAGCACCTAGCAAGGAAGTCTCATGCGCAACTTTCTGTGAGCTATACAACTTGCTCTTTAAATCTTGACATTGTTATCAATTGTCTCTCCGCAGGAAATTGCAGCCCACGATTTATGCGTTCGACAATGTACAACATTCCTTGCAGCCAAGATATGATCAAGCAATCTCAAGTGCCAGTAGGAATTGTCATCTCACCCTTTGCAAAGTTACCCGATAACGAGGTACTCACAGAATTATCTAATTTGGGCCCAAGTATTGCCAAATTGAAATGGAGAAATCATGTTTTTGGTCTCAACCTGGCCCTCCTGGGTCCTTCAAAATCAAGTCAGTTTTGGCAGCATGAAGGAAGAAAAAGCCTAGCCAGTACTACTTAACATGGGTTTGATGTCACTTGAAAGTTTAAGTTCAAAGAATGTGTTGTTAGTATATTTCAGTGGAAGATTTGTAATGATAATAATAATAACAATAATAATATAGGTATCTTTAAAACACCTTTAACATGGATCAAAGCACTGTACATTATCATTTTGGAGGATTCAGGAAGATTCCAGGTTGAAGATGTGTTGCAGTCAGGCTGAGTTTGTTCAATGTAGTCACAGTTTTTAAGGGAACTTGACGAAGATTGTTACAGGGTACATGCCTGTGTTTGTTCTTACTGCTTGTTTGTTATCTTTACCAGGCTCCTCCCCCAATTGTTGACCATGGTCCCAACGGCCCGGTGCGTTGCAATCGCTGCAAAGCTTACATGTGCTCCTTCATGCAGTTTGTCGACGGTGGTCGCCGTTTTTCCTGTGCCTTCTGCACCTGTATCACTGAAGGTAAGCCAGCCAATCTGTAATTCTAAATTTTGTAAAGCATTCCCAGTTGAAATAGTCGTCATACTTGTGGGGCTGCCTCTGAATCTAGTGTCTAGAGCTAGGCTCACGTCTTTGTTGGTTGCAAAATAAGGTCACAAGCTAACTTGCGTACTGTCATAGCTTTCAGAGCACTTTCATACATGGAATGAGCCCGTCATTTTCAAATGCATTATCAGTTGAAAGCCAACAGAGATGTAGGAAGGTGTCACCCTAGGGTCAATTTCTGCCCAAGTCAGAAGCAATCATAGTAGCCAAGTAGATAAATGCTCTTGTGTGGAAAGTCTGTTAAATGCTATAATTTTGGTTAAGTGACCTGACTAGTCTGTTATCTTGACAGTTCCTCCAGAGTATTTCCAGCCTCTAGACCACAACAGTCGACGAGTGGATGCCTATGAGAGAGCAGAGCTGTGCAGGGGGACATTTGAGTATCTAGCAACGGCTGATTACTGTAAGAATAATACCCTCCCTAAACCACCGGCCTTCATCTTTATGATTGATGTCACCTACCAGAGCATCAAGACTGGAATGGTTCATCTACTGTGTAGGGAACTCCGATCTCTTCTGGAGAAATTACCATGGTAATTGATCTCTAAAAACATTCTGAAAGAATTTAAATGAAGCCCATGTGCTTTGTGCATAAGTACTCCCGCGTTGGTGATGAAATGAAAGGCTGAGGCAACAATTAAACACTTATGGAGGGTTTGCATGGCTGCCATGTTGCAGGCCAGTGCATCTGTTTCATGGGGCATGCACGAAGGAAGTTTCCCTGCGGAATAAAAGAAGTGCCCTGCAAGATAGCTATCATGCAAAACCTTTATGTGGGTCCTATGTCTGGCACTGATCTGTGATATAATTCCTGCAATTCATACCAGATTCACATGCTTTGTGTCGTCTCAAGAGCAATAGATGTAGTTGCTCAAGATTAGCTACCCCACTCATGGTAAACTATGCATGAAAATACTGGTGATTCACGATAGTACCCCTCGAAGCGTTTGCAATGCATTGGCCAATCACAGTGTGCGAAATCTGTCAACCCAATGTGTGTTTGGAAGGGTTAACAGATTTTGTGCATGTAATTTGTCAGAACGTTGCAAACCCTTTGAGGCGCACGATTGTGAATCAACAGTATTGATCATCATGGATCATTTACATTAATTTCTTACTTATAATGTTCAGTGAGCATGGCATGCAAGAATCGGTCATCCGTGTCGGCTTTGTCACCTATGACTCCTCCCTGCACTTCTACAACCTGAACAGCGCCCTCGCTCAGCCCCAGATGCTGGTTGTGTCAGATGTGCATGATGTGTTCCTTCCACTGTTGGATGGGTTCCTGGTCAATCTATCTGAATCAAAAGCTGTCATTGAAAGGTATATTAAATTATTCTAAGCAGAGTCAATATTTTGTTGTGGTTTCCTCAAGAAATGGGAGATTTTTCAAAGAAGTTACAGACACTGGCTATATTAGTGTCCAAGTGAGGTGTAAGTGATATCCTGACTCTTTGATAAATGTTTCAACTCAGTAACAGGGAAAGATTATCACACAATCTTGTGACTTGTGTTCTTTCTCAGACCAATAGGGCAGATTTTTATTCACAACTGTTAGTCTTTCATTTACCAGGCAGGGATGAGATTCTGATTGTTCTTGATTTTTCTTTCTTCAGTTTGTTGGAGCAGATTCCTCAGATGTTTGCAGAGACCAGGGAGACCGAGACAATGCTAGGGCCAGTGGTACAAGCTGGACTAGAAGCCATCAAGGTGAGATTCAAAGTAGTCAGGCAGCTACTTTGTGCACAATTCATCAATTGGAAGTTTTCATGTGCACTGCAGAAGACTCATAGACTCTGCACCATGCCATAGGCTTCAACTCATGAGGATCATTCTGACTCATTAGAATGCGTATTCTACAGAGACGTTCATTAATTGCATGATTGTCAACTGTTCTGTCCTTCACAGTCCTCTGATCGTACAGGCAAACTGTTTGTCTTCCACGCATCCCTGCCTATTGCAGATGCTCCAGGCAAACTCAAGAACAGGGATGATCGAAAACTCCTGGGAACGGAAAAAGAGAAGGTACGAGAATAAAAGTTAGAAGTTCAATAGTGTTCGGTTGTCTACTCTTGAAGTCTTACACATTTTGGAAATGTAGTAAAGAACCATTTTTGTCAACAAATGTTGTGCTTCTAACCTTCCAGAACACAAGTGATTAGAATGTTCTGCTACCTAGCTTCATGTTGAACAGAAGGTTCTGCAAATTCTCAGAACTAGGTCTGAAAAACTGAAGATTTGCTTTGAGAGAGATAGATTAGAAGCTACATTGATATGAAAAGAAAAATCTGCCTTTGGCCTGCACTGTTGGGTCATGGTGGTAGCTTGGACATAGAGTACCAAAGTGAATATGTCATGCTCACAATTAGTGGTAAAAGGCATTAGTGCGAGAACCAGTGCGTGAACCAACACATGCGCGTACTCCATTCGTTTGCACTGCACACTCTGGTTCACAGTGACGTCACACTTCGGTACTCTCTACAGGTGAAATAACTTTCTCCCTGAATTCTGTTTTGTGCAGACATTGCTGTCACCCCAGATCAACTTCTACACTAAGCTCGGTCAGGACTGTGTAGCAGCCGGCTGTAGCGTGGATCTCTTTCTATTCCCCAGCTCCTATGTGGATGTAGCTTCAATTGGTCAGGTCACTACGCTGACCGGTGGTCAGTGCTACAAGTATAACTACTTCCAGGTGAATTTAGCAGTAGGATTTGAGTTTTAGGTTGAACAAAACAATTAATAGTGACAGGATTTAACCTGTAAACCTAGGAATAGTTGGCTGGATTGAACAGTTAGTTGAGGTTACTTTTAACTACAAATTTGCTGGTGGTTGGAATGAGTTTCTAATTGAACAAAATGATTGATACTAACAGAATTGAGCCTGTAACCCTCGGAAAAGTTGGTGGGATTGAAATAGTTACTTGGGGTTTTTGTTAACCACAAATTTCCTGGTGGTTGAATTTTCTTCAGGCTGCCAACGATGGGGAACGTTTCATCCAAGATCTCACCCACAACATCCAGCGTCCCATCGGCTTTGATGCTGTCCTCCGTGTCCGGACCAGCACTGGTATCCGACCGACTGACTTTTTTGGCAATTTTCACATGGCCAACACCACAGACGTAGAGCTTGCTGCCATTGATAGTGACAAGGCTGTTACTGTGGAGATTAAACATGACGATAAATTGACAGAAGATGGAGGGGCTTTTGTACAGGTATCGTCTACTAGTCTCTGTGTGTTTTACAAAGAACTGAATATCATCATCCAAGTTAACATTGCAGTACTCTAATATCTCTAGGTTCATGCCACTATTAGGAGTTAATGTCATCAACCTGCTGTGGAGCAATTTGTATCATTTCTCATGTTAGCTTTTGAGAAGCAGTGCATGTAGTATAAGAACTAAGAAGCCACACCTGGAACACCAGACTTCCCATTTAACCCAAACCCCCAGGGACCATTGAAATCATACACATGCTTGTTGGACGCAGAATGGTTAGGGTTAAGATAATAAAAATATGGAAAAGTCATGATTAATTGGGAAAAATAGGGTATCTTGGAATCCTGTTGTCAGAGAGGAAACAAGTCATGCATGTGAGGGTTATTTTGACGGACTGCTTTTGATGTAATTAACAAATGCTACATTTATTGGCGATAGAGGTTTTTCATGTGATGTAACATGACAGGTAACACCGTTTCAGGAAGTGTTTCCTTTCCATGGAGGTGTGTGCGTTTTTCAAATGTGTTCATTTCTATTGGTATATTTCGTGTATGCAAGAATGTGGAAAGACTTGATTATCTCCAATTATAGCTTACATGTATAATTGCAATTGAAGTGAATGAGGACAAGGGTTTTTTTGCAGTAAATGTTATAATTGTATCCCTCAAAGTAAGAACAGCTCTTGTGGTGGCTTACATGTAGTACCTGAATCTCCTCCTATAATCAAATAGATGTGCCACGAATTGTAGGGAAGTTGTGGCAGACGCAACTTGCAAAACCCTTCAAAGAATGTTTCGTGGATTTTGCATTTCCCCCAAATCACACCCCTGCATAATACCTAACAATTTTGCTCTGCAAAACAGCAGTTTATGTCATGGAAATTTTCATATTCTAGTGCTGGAAAGTTCTAGAAAAGCCATAGCCTTTGGCTCTCAGATTTCTGCGGGAATCCTAAATATTCATGAGTTGTCCAAATAGCTCCCTCAACAGTGCATGAATGAATCCATTAGTCATTGTGACACACTTCTCTACATTGCTGCTTACAGGTTGCTTTGTTGTACACCAGCGTGTCTGGTCAGAGACGATTGCGCATCATCAACCAGTCCTACAACTGTTGCCTTCAGATGGCTGACATGTACCGCAATTGTGAGATGGATGCTATCATCAATTTCCTCGCCAAGCAAGGTCAGTGGAGGTCAAGTTATTAGGCTGATTGGCTTGCATTTAGAATGTCCTGTGTTGAAAGAATACTCCCAAGTCCAGGAAAGTCTTCTGGTCAGGGGTAACAATGTAATACAAAGAAACTATGAATGCTTAGTGTTGTGTGTTAAGATAAAATGTATTGAAATACGCTGCTTTGCTGTCTTTCCTATTCATTTACTTTCCAAAGTGCATGAATTTGAAGCAAGTTGTACTTTTCATTATTTATCTTTGTAGCTGTGAAATCAGTCTTAACCTCCAACCCTAAGGCTATAAGAGAGGGTCTAACCAATCGCTGTGCAGCCACACTGGCTTGCTATCGCCGTAACTGTGCCAGCCCTTCATCCCAGGGTCAAGTAAGTTATCTGTTATATGAAATATGGACTAATGCTGCCGTCAGTTGCAAATGAATTTCTATTGGACATACATGAAAAGCTGGCAAACCTTGGTAGTTATTGCAATATGCACTTCATCGCAAACATTACTTTCCTTCATAAGTATGTCCTTGATACTTATCTAGAGTTTCCCATCTTGTCATTCAGTGCTCATTTCCTCATCTTATTTGCAATCTTGTCTCTTGTCTCAGTTGATTCTCCCAGAATGTATGAAGCTTCTGCCTCTCTACATCAATTGCATCTTGAAGAGTGACGCTCTGTCTGGTTGCACAGACATCACCACGGATGATCGTAGCTGGCTCATGGACACAGTCCGTTCCATGGATGTCAGGTCCACTGCTGTCTACTTCTATCCAAGACTCATCCCACTGGTAAGTCTTACAGAACCTCTGCAATAAATCCTACACTAAACCATTACTAATAAGAAAATAAACCAGAAACTTACATATTTGATTTGATTTTTTTTATAATTCTTGTAATTTGTGAGGGTTGTGTAGCATCATGTATAAGTTCTGTAGTTAAGTTCAGCACAAGTCCATCGTAAGTCTGTCTCGAGGTATCTAAATGAACTTGGACAAAGGCAGGTATTCTGTTGTCACTGTTCATTCCCCTACTCATGATTTAACTTGTAAAAGGTCTCGACTACAACACTGATTGTAGCTGATATGTAAGAAGATTCAATTCTTGAAGAAAGAGCAGCCACAAACTCATAATTCTATTCAGGAAAAATATTCAGTTTTTCTGTTGGCTTCGTTCTCATCCAGCACGACTTGAATCCTAACTCGTCTGGCATCCAGACCGCCATCCGTTGTTCTGTGGAGCGTCTTCGTGATAACGGTGTATATCTCCTAGAGAATGGCAACGTCATGTTCATGTGGATTGGCTTACATGTCAGCAATGATTGGGTGCAAGACGTCTTTGGTGTCCACTCTCCAGCACAGATTGACATTGACTCAAGTAAGCTGCTTCATATGGACAATCCAACATCCCAGGGAGTCCGTAATGTTGTGGAAAAAATCCGCAAGATGAGACCACGATACATGAAGGTAAGCCTGAATGAATCAAATGTTCCAGTGATTTAATGAAGGGTAAGCTGTTTTGTGGGCTACAATGCACTATTGCACACTCCCCCCATATTTATCGTAGCTTTTATCATGTCTGCCCATATCCAAGGGCAATCCTCTGTTGCAGAGTGTTACATGTTTGTGCAAATTCAGTTGAAAATTTGTCAGCATCTCTCAGGAAAATTCTTGTACTCTCTCAGTGATCGTTGAGCACACAGACCTGTAAACACAAAATGTACACAAAATGTCGATTCCATTGTCTCGCTCTTATCCGTGTTTTGCCTTAATTTACCAACCTTGATCATTATTTCCCCAGCTGACATTCGTCAGACAGCGAGATACCCTCGAGGCCTGGTTCCGCCACTTCCTTGTTGAAGATAAAGGTGCTAATGCATCTGCCTCGTACGTTGACTTCCTCATCCACATGCACAAAGAAATCAGGAATCTTCTCAACTAATCACCCCTCTTCAGTTTCAATTCCATTGTTTCAGCAGGCTGAAGAATTGCCTCAAGTTGTTGAAGAAGAGTTAAGTAAGTGGAAACCTTAATGGTAACGTCTCATCATCTTGATCACAGAGATGATGATACTTGGGAAGGTACTGGCTTGATGTATGGTAGCGTACTATGACTTTTAACCTCACTTTTTTCTTGTCACATTTTGTTTCCTGTGCCACTGATTTGAGTTAAATTGATACTTGAAACTGAAGTATGAGGGTATTGCATGCAATGATGACAGGTGCTTCTTAGTGAAAGTTAAGACAAGTGGAAATGTCTTGACAAAACAGGATTGCAATACAGCATCCATTAAAGTAATTAAAATTCCACTAGAAATGAGGAAGCTACTTGCTGGGGAATTTTCTATTATTTTATGAGTTAAATCCAAAACTTGTGAACTAACTGGATAGTTCTGGCAGTTGAGCTGTTGGTTTAACAGCCACTGTTTTAGTTGACATGGCAATTAATAAATATTTCACTGTTTGAATACTTTACAGGAGCCCCCAAAATGAGTACTACATACAACTTATAGGATGTTGTGGCAAAGTATTTTTTAAATGTGAATAAGGCATTCATTCAGAGAATTAGCATTTTAGACACACAAATGCTGATCAATGCCTGGGCTTCGTGACTTTTTTGGTAAAGTGACAACTTTATCCGTGCCAGTTTTGGGGATTATTGCAAAGTTTCATGTATTAGTCCTGTGAAAGTTGAAAGTATACACAAAGCATTCTACATGAGCTTGTGTTCCTGAGATTTTAAGGATAACATATTTTTGATAAAAGTGTATGTAAAAGTAATTTCATGTGGCAACAATTATAAGGAGGGGCTTAGTAGATATCTTGTGGGATGAAAGTAAACAAAACCCATATGTGAAACCCAGATAAGATTCATTTCTATTATACTTTAACAATGAAATTACACTTTGTCAAATGTTGTCAAATTCTAATGATCAGCAGTGTAGGATGAAATGTTGACTTAACACCAGACTTAAATGGATTGTGGAATTTCAAAATTAGGTAAAATAGACAAAAGTCAACTTAGTTCCGTGTTTGGTTTCTTGCAGAAAAAAAACTTCAAATGCATTTGTGTGTCATCTATTTCAAAGCGTAAGCATTTTGTAAATATGAAAGGGTCAAAGATGTGTTACTTAATATTATAATTATAAACGTTTATCATTTATGTTACAAATGGTCCATTTTTATTTGTTCGCCATGTTTTTCTTTGGTTTTTTCCCCATAGGTTTTTCTGGGAGTATCAAAACTAGGATTGCATTTAATACTCTCTCGCTTGTAGCCATGTAACTTACCAGTGTAGTGAATATTTTTTTTCAGCTTTTGGTTGTGGTAAAAACTATTCAAAAGCTATCAAGTATGAAAGTTGAAAATCTTTCGGACCGCATGCATACTGCACAGATATTGTGAAACTTTAAGGTACTTGTACACGTATACTGAATGCATTAAGATGAATTATCTAAACGAAGTGCATTTAAAATGCCTTGTTTTTGTTGCCCCTCCTGTACAATTGTTTTTTCTTTTTCTTCTAAGAATGTTTTCTTATTGATTCTGCAAATGCGGGGTAAATAGTTAACTTAAGGGCGACGTCAAGCTAAATTGAGAAGTGATGTTCATTGGTCCATGTCGCTGTGAGGGATTGATAAATCTGCAAATCTTTGCTTGTTGAATGTCCATTACATGCCGAGTAACGGGAACAATGGCTGTATTTTCACAGAAATACACACTGTAATTCAAACTAATTTGAGTGTCTGTACCTACAGGCGTTATGTCAAACTTTTCAAATTTTCATACTTTGATTTCTTTATCTTCAACCCAGGGACATAAAAGTCCTGTTCGCCTTTTCAACGAATGTTCCATGTAGAAAAATAAATCAAAGATTGTATTAAATATAACATTGCAAAAACTGTTCTTGAAACAGGGAGTTGTATTTTGCTGAATCAGTCAAAAATAAATTACTTACTACATGTATATAAATGTGGTAAGAAACATCAAGCTTTTGAAATAGACATGGGGCAATAAACTTTAATTGAAGTTACGTAGTCATGGCCAAAGATCAGATAGCACTGCAAGATGGAGAACTTCACCGTGAATAAGCGTTGTAATTGCATGGGCGCCAAATTTGGGTTGGACTACACCTGCACAGTGCATGTTAATGCACAGGCGCAGGTGCCTTGACAGGCACGCACACTTGGTATGGCTGTGCATTAACGTGCACACTCAAATGGCGCTCATGGTGTTAACTCCTTTTTTGCAGAATTCTGTCTTGCGCTGCTATGCGGTGCTATACTATCTTTGGTTATGGCTGCATGTTTGCATTCAAATAACTAGAGGGAATGAAACATTTTTGAAAGAAATTGTGGGCTGTGTAAACAAAACAGAGGGAGCTAGACATCTTTTAGGGTGTGCAGCTTGGCATTTGCTTTTTGTCTGGTAGAGGGCTCTAAATATTTAAATAGCAGTTGGTATGATGAATATTCTTGAAGTTGTTGATTAAGCTTGGTACCCCGTATATTTATACACGGATTTGAAGCCAAGCTTTCGATTGTGAAGAGAGGGCGCTAGACATCTTTCACGGTCGGCAGCTCTGTATCAAGCGTCAAATTTGCTTTTATAGAGGGCGCCAAATATCCAGAATGAAATAGTAAGTTATTATTATGATGAATATTCATAAGGTTGTTGATTTTGCCTGGTACCCTATACTCATTTATACATAAGTTACCAGGGAATATTGAAAGTGTGGAGAAAGCTTTCGATTGTCAAGAGAGGGCGCTAGACATCTTTCACGGCCGGCAGCTCTGTATTTAGTGTCAAATTTGCTTTTAT